GGGGGGGGAGGGGGAAGAAAAAAAGGACAGATGTGGAATAGCATCTTCCTGCTAACTGTGTGGACAAGTCACTGAGTTAAATATTGGCAGAGTTTGGAAGTTCACTTAAAACAGATAAACTTGAGTTGAACAGACGGCAGCTGCATCAACTGCACAAAAACGACCAGTTCCCATCTTAAAAGTAAATTCTGAAATTTTTTTAAAGTTATTACTAAGTAGACCTCTTCTTAGAGAAAATTATTTTAAAGTTACGCTTTTACCAACGGCTTTAAAAGGTATTTTCTCTTCTAAGAAACACCTCCTGCCTTGTCTTGTCTTCTAATCTGAAAGCTGCTAACTGCTGCAGACATGAAAACAACTACAGTGGGCAAAATGCCAAAAAGGTTAAATTTTACCAGATTAATTTTGTGCGGTAAATAACCAAGAGAAGCCCAAGAAACCTCTTCATCTCTAACCTGAACAGGCCAAACCTTGGAAACACATGCATATTTTTTAAGTGAGGTCAAAAGACTTGTGAGTGCTAATAAAGTACCTGATCTTTTACACCTAGCTCTACGGTACGATTTTCAGTAGAGGTCACAGTTGTATAATCTCACCATGTCCACTCCTTTAAAAGGGAGCAGAAATAGATCAGAGCTAAGCAGTTGTGAAAATATTACTGTGAATCACCACCAAAATCTTCTGAATTAATGGAAGTGACAGACTCACTCAGTGATAGACTTCAGAAAATACTGAGTGAAATGATGGCTCTGGCTTACCGTAATTTTCAGCAGTTCCACAGTATTTGTAACAGTACAAACTAGCAGAATTAACGTTCCCTGTATTAACACCAACTTTAATACTTTGCTTAGAAGCATTTCTCTGGCTACATTCTCAAGCAGCTTTCGTACCTGACCAAAGGCGAACTGTTGCTGTGGTACTCCAACTGCCGTGTGACTGAAGGTGCTGACTGATTTGGAAGAAGATGCTGGAAGACGATGCGATGCACTGACAGGAACTTGACTTCTGTTCTGCGCGAGCTGATCTCCAGTGAAGTTTCCTCCTGACGCGACAGACTGAACTGATGGTCCCAGGCTGGGATGTACCGAACCAGAAGAACTTGCCACAGCAAATCGATTAGAAGTTGACATGTTTGAGCCCGCAGACTGCCCAGGTGACATCGTAGCAAAACTCGATCTACCTTGAGAAACATTAGCTTGACTGGGTGATAAATGCAACACCGTTGGCGATGCCTGCTGCAGTGGCACCTGCCCACCAACAATCTGTGAAGTTCCGTGATTTACGATAACTTGGTTTCCAGGAGCTGTGAATGTCTGGCCGGAAACAAGCTGAACAGCTGTGTTCTGATTATTCAGCATCTGTCCTGAATACGACTGGTTGGATCTTAGCATGTTTGTGGAGTTCCTGTTGAGCATTACGTGCTCAGCAGACACTTGGCTAGGAACCATCTGGGAAGGCTGAGTCTGAAGAAGTTGTCCATTTATGGCCTGGACATGATGAACTGAATTGGAATTAACAGACAAACTCGTAGGTATGAGAAACTGGTTTTGAGGCGCATGAGGCTGTCCCATAGGAGAATGGATAACAATACTACCTCCAGCATTGCTAACTGTCTGAGGTGTAACTGATTTTCTCGTATTTTGCTGATTAACAATATTAACAGACATATGCGGCCCAACTACCGAACTCTGAGGTGAGTTTGAAGAAGCGAACGGAATCCCCTGCTGCACGTGATGTTGCTGTATTCCCAAGTTATTCACGTTGTAAGCAGTCTGCTGACCCATCTGGACAGGCTTTGGTTGGATGTTAATGGGAACTTTGTTAGAGTTCGGTGCCAATCCCCTTTGAATGATGATATTATGGACAGGTAATGATGTCTGAAAATTTGTGCTGTTAAATGGAACGGTTACAGGTTGTGCTACTGGACTTGAATTCGAGTTACCAAACAGTGAGTTACCATTTGGAGTTTGTCTATGAACCAAGAGGCCACTACTCATGTTTGCAGGTGTTTGCTGACCATTGCCTTTCAGTATAATCTGAGATCCATCGAGGTTATTAATGGTCATCATGGAAGGTTGATTACTAAATGAGCCAATTAGCTGGATCTGCCCAGAACCACTGATCTGGCTGCTATTAGACAAATGCTGGCTGGGAACACTAATTCCAACATGTTGCATAAAGCCATGTTGCACACCGACTGTATTGCTTGCAAAAGATGCTCCGACAGGTTGCTGTACCACTTGAGTAACTCCTATAGGTTGCAACATCTGACCTGAGTAATTAGAAACATTAGAAGCCTGAGTAAAGGATGCTGATGAAGAAGGATGAAGCTGAGCTTGTGCAAACTGTTGGCTAGAACCTACACTGGCATCCAAATATGCCTCTTCTGCCAAAGTCTGTTCAGTGATATTGGCCTCCTGCAAGGACTTCTGAAGAATATCAAAAGGCTGATCCTCAGTAAGATCAGGTAAAGGAGAAGATACAAGTTCATCTTCAAGAAACTGAAGGCTACTGGACAGCTGCAGTCCATCACTAGGCCCCTCTCCAAGCTGACCGCTTACACCTTTCACAGACGACTTAGGATCGGTGTTCTGAAAAGCAAAACAAGAAACCAATCATTTTCAGAAATTCGAAGCTCCACCTTCCTTCCCCATTAAGCTTTTTTTCACTCAAGCAAAACTTTCTTTAATGCAACTGTATTCTTTACATAGTGTGTATATATAAGGTGACTTTCATCCCAGGGAGTGGGCCAGCATAAACATGTGCATTACTCACATCCCACTCGTTCCCTCATACAGACAGCTGGAGACAACTACTCTCATTTCTCTCATCTCCCACAGCACTCAGCTCAGCAGCTGCACTGTTTCAAGAAGACGTAACATGCTACTACAAGTACCATTTTCCCTTCCGCAAGCAGAGCACTGTATGGACAAAAGGATAAAAGAAAGGAGGAGTCTAAAGATCTCCACTGTAACTCGATTTGGGGCAAAGCTTCAGTAGTAACAGTATTAGCAGGGAAAAGTCAGGAAAAAGCTGCTCTTTCACTGACCAAATGAGATCCATCTCCAAAACCCTACCAGTATTTCTACAGTCACACAGTGTAAACTGGTGACCATTTCATAAAGCGAAGGAATTACACTAATTCTTTGTTTAGAAAAATTTTAGAAACAAAGCAGTAAGAAAAACAATGCTACAGACTTTGTGGCTTATACTAATAAAAACATTACAGAGAACTATAAGCACTGGAACTGCAGCCAATATTAACTGGCAACCTGTGATAAGAAAAATCAGAACCTGCTTTACCCTGGCCTGTTGTCAGTAAAATTTTCCTACAACAAAACTGTCCAGAACCTCTAGACAACACAGGTATCCTGTTTCTAAGCTGGAATGACAGCTTTAAGTGCTTGCAATAGTTCCAAGTCACATGGAGTACGGCTTTATAAACTGCAAAACCCTATCTCAACTATTCAAAGGCAACATTCAGTTTCTTTTTAGGTCAGGAGAAATGCAAAACATGGGAGTGAAATTAGCAGTCACCTTCAGACTCCTTGAAGGTCATGCTTGTTTTCACCTCATACACACGGTGTGAAAATGCCACAAGCTGTACTTATCACACGTAATAGTGTCCCCACTCTAACTTCAGTTCCCCAAGTGCATTTATTCAGAATTCTACCCCAAAGTGTTTCTGAATCAGCCTGTGTAGTTTATGAAACTCCAGTCATGTTTTAAAAAGACTGTTATTAAAATTCAGTTAAATGTATTTTGAAAATACAAATATAAAATTACAATAAACTTTTTTGCATTTAATGTTAACAGAAGGAATTAAACTAGTACTTAAATGTCCTGATGTCTGCACCTCATGAACACTTAAACTTACAAATCAGGTTCTCAACTGTACCTAGCTACCACCAGACAGAGCAGAAACCAGTCACCAACTAGGGCATTATTAGGACACAACTGCCAGGTTCTTGGAGAATTCCCTACTGCATCTGCAACTTGTCTCCAGTGACAATATCAATCTGAAATCTTTCATGACTGTTTAACTCAGAGGGCTCCAGTTAGTACTACAATACAACTAACACTACGACTAATAGCAATAGTAATAATAAATAATATTACATGCAATCAGGATTAATAGATTGAAACTCTCTCACTGGAATGAAGAATCCCAAGTATCATTCCATGCTCCCAGGACTGTTTAAGACTCAAACCCAATTTTATGTGCTTAAACTGGAACCAGGGACCTTCCAAGCTAACATCTGAGTCACTGCTGCCCAGATACAAAACAGTCACGCAGAATACCATACTAATTTCAACAAGAAATTAGTCCCTCTGCAACTTCATCCACCTGCTTACCAACAAGAGTCTTACTCTCACTGGCTCCATGACTATTCTGCTCTCTTAAGCTGTTCTACTATACTACAGCACGAAGGTGGAAGGAGTCACCGGGTACAGCCCAGGTAATAAACAGGGCAATGCCTAAGGAACCTTCATGAAGGTTTTAAAAGACTGACGACCACCTAAGGAAACCAGCTTGGAGTCAGTGGAGGTAGTATGCAACCATTCAACTTGGGGCAGGTAGGGAGGTGAGGGAGGGGAAGAGTGGACCCTGCTTTCTTGTCCTTCAGTGAGCAGGAACTTAATCTGGTTTGTGCTAGGTTTTAGCTGAGCCTGTTTACCAGCTGAAGCACTGAACCCTCGACACTGAATTTGTTAACTCTGCCACTGAAAGGCATGAGACGGGCATCAAGACAGTCAATTCTACTTCTTGGGAGCAATTCTGAATACATACACACTTTCAGTATCTGCAGAAATTTTAATGACAAAAACTCAGAAGCCTTTAACTTTTCAGGTATCTTACACTGTAAGTAGGGACTGCGAAACCATCCCTTTATATTGTTAGAGATATGCAAAAATCAGCAAAGGGTATTACTCAAATTCTGTAGGTAGTTAGAGAGACATGGCCTTGGGGGAAGGAACGGAGTACGTAGATCAAGTTGAATGAGGAAGTACCAAGATAAGCACAAGGACACAGAACTGGTAGTGAAATCAAAGAGAAGATTACTTGAACTATTTGTGAACTACCTTAACTACCATAGCAAAAAACCCACCCCCGGGGCAGGGAAAGCCTCTTACCAACAGAACATGCACAGTAAAAAAAAAAAAATGGATATTGTGACTTTAAATGAAGACACTGCAGAACCAATGGGAACAAGGGTGACTGACTAAAAATATGGACAACAGTTACTCAGGTTGTATAAAACACCTCCCGTCTGCTAGCTGTAGTGTGCTAGCTTTGTGGAGTTACCACCTAGCACACATCTCTGTGCTGACATGGAGTATCTTGACTCTGTGTGAACTCTGATTTTGGGACAACACATTTATATTTCAGATACCCCTTGTTGCTTCATAGTGCACTTTAAGAGTCTATCTCTGCAGTCAAGTCATTCTTCACTTAGGTCAGCACAGGGCGCTCACATGAGGGCGGAAGGGAAGATGGCATTGGTATTCATTATGAAGCTACAAAAGGATGAGAACAGCACAAGAGGAAGAAGTGCTGGAGAATGAAAATACAGTAAGCCATCCTAGGAACACACACTAGAAATCCCTGCTCCTCTGATCCTCTGCCTTCTAGATTACTTACCACCCCAGTCTCATATACCAGAAAGCTCTTCTGACGTTCACCAAGTATTCTTGTTTCTCCTATGTTCTACTCCCTATACAACAATCCCACCGTGCCCAGAATCTCCCACTCTATCTCAAAACTACTTCAAAGCCTCGTTTTCTGAAAATACACCAGAAATACACTCCTGACTCCTGCTCACCTACTCATGCTTACCAGAAGAATCTCTGCAAAGACCAACAAGGAAGTCTAGATAAGACAAACGCCCATCATACGTCAAGCACACCATCATGTGTCACCCTTTTTTCCCTCCCAACCTCATTTTTCTTAGGATAAGTCCTCAAAACCCCCCAATGCCATGCTGCCTACAGGAAGCTTCTGTGCGATAATGACTAGCCTGGTACCAAGCTGAAACCCCTGTTCCTGGTTTGCTGAAAATTGGGCACACACTACTACTGTTGGTAGCCCACTCCCTCACCATTATCTCAACCAGCTTATCGTAAGAAAGAACTATCGCTCAACATGTGTTTCTTCTACAATGATATTGAAAAGGGAAGGACAGGGAACACACTTCACATCACATGACTATAGCTACAGAAAAGTCACTAGTTCTCTATACACAGATAAACAGTTTTCAGGATTTATTTACACCAGTTACTTAAGGTCCCTACACACCTACAAGCATATCCACGTATCTGTTAGGAACATGGGACAGGGTCAAGAACACAGTACAACAGAAAGAGGAATTACCAAGGAAACCTTACTCTATGTATTCAAATAACTGAATTAGGGGATGAAGAATTCAGGTTTTTTTAAAACACACACCAATGAAACCAAAGAAACGTGGGTCAGAAGGGATCTCTGGAAGTCATCTAGTCCAACCTTCTACTCAAAGCAGGACTATTGCCAGCACTAGAGCAGATCGGCCTTGGCAAGGATGGGCATTCCACAACCTCACTGGGTACAACTTGGTCCAGGGCTGCAATACACTCCTGGCGAAGAAAGAATACTGAAGACTACTTGTAACACCTAATGAATTTAAAGTGACTTCCCTAACACTGAAGCTACAGGAAGGAAACATCCTAAGCTAGCTATTCAATCTGAAGAACAGAAAAGCCCCATTCATTAATTTTAAAAAATTGCTAGCTCAGTTTCTATTTGGAAATAAGAAATTAAACCATCCTAACATACACAGGAAACGTATGAACGACTAGCTTTTAAGGTCTGCATTTGAGCACTACTACACCTACAATCACTAAAATTACAAGTCCAGTTTACTGGAGAGTCTTACACAGGCGAGTATTTCCGCTGCTCAGCAAGCTGTTTTACGTATTATGAAACGCGGACGAACATCGCAGTATCTTTCAATTAATTCCCCACTGAAAACCCAATGCAATACTTAAAGCATTTACAGTATGAAGTGATTCTATGTTAGCATTCAGAATTTTCCTAAGACAAAGGTCAACCTCAACATCTACTTCATTCAGTTTTACAAAAGCCAAGTCAAGTCACCACAGAAGCATGCAATCTCAATACAAGTAGTATTTAGCTCCTTACTTACATTTGAGTTGGCGAAAATTGAATTTGAGTTGGCTACAGAATATTCTGCGTTAGTCAAGTCTTCATTACTCTGACAAAAGACAAAAATCATGTTTAGAAATAATACACTCAATGCAGCTTATGTATAATACAGAAGAATGCTACTTACAGATTTACTACTAGGTCCATGTAGAAAATAATTCAGTGCCTGTGGGTCCCTTGAGGAAAAAAACAACAATAAAAAAACGTTACCACTTTTAGGAAGCTCTTTCTGCTAATGAGGCTAATTTAACTAAGCCAGATACTGTATTTACTATAAACGTGATTTACACGAAACCAAGTTTCTTTCATTGACTCCAATGCAAAGCAGAAAGTTTAAGGATCTGTTTCTGCATCAGCAGAATTTTCAGAAGTTGATCGTATTTGCTGTCATTGTACCAAAGCATTTCAAGCAATAAACTATGTTTACCACAAAATTTTAGTTGCATTCTGCTTACCTTCCCTTTATGAGGGTATAACTCATATTATCTTAAAACACACAGTATTTTATGATAGTACATAATACAAAACTAAGGAAAATACTACCACCAAATAACATAAGGACAACAGACACCACGTCTTCTACAGAAATGAACTGTAATGCCTGTTTAGCTAGTGTCTGAGTCAACAGGGTATTGACAAACCTCAATCTTTAACATGCTTTCTGACACCCTTAACACAAGTTAACAGAAACATGCTCGCCAGAATAACAATTCCTTCACTTGGAGACAAAAAGCAGCACTTTTTCCAAGTGAAATCAACCACAGAAATAATTAAGTAATATGAAACACAATTTCAGTACGTTTCATTAACCTAGCCCAATCACTGAATAAAACTCAGATTAAAAATGTGATCTGATAGAATGAGTGTTGCAAATTCAAACAAATCAAAAATACATGAATGTAACTGCACATACAGACCTAGTAAAACACATTTAAAGGTTGTGTTGCATGGGATTATTTTAATACAACAATTATACAGCATTTCCCAACACTTCCATTAGCATGAAGAGTAAAATGACATGGAGCTGTTTTGATTTAAAAAAAAACTTTATTCATTAACAAGTAATAATAAAACATTTTTGAGAAGCAGGAGATTCTCATGATAAAGAATATTAATTCAAAACATCTCTCCTCTCTCTTCATCCTAGAAAATAAAGAGGAAACAACAAGTTAAAAGATCTTTTAGGTTTACAACTACTCTTCTAAAAGCACAAATACACCTCTATTCCTCTTTATTTCATTTAAAAAACAAACTGCATTCATGTGTTTACAAAGATATGTTAAACAGACAGTACTTGGCAGGGACTTCACGGTACATTTAGGCTTACAACACAGAAGTGGTTACATATATTTTTTAACAAAAACCTCATTTTCGCAGTAGATTACACTGAATTTCAAGAATTAAGGGGAACAGAAGTCATGATCTCTCACAGGGCTCTATCATGCTTGTAAGCTTTATTGATAAATAACCACACTGTTTAATTCTAATTACACCCACTGGCTTTAAATCATGCAAAATGCAAATAAAAATTAAGAACACTTCATCACCTAAATATTGTCTTTAGTAAGGAAGGGATTTTAGAAGGCACTTACCAAAATCAAAGATCAGATGGCGGAAAAAAAAAAAAAGCTGTTTTCCATTCTTCTAGATGCTTGAGACAGTAATTGCTGCCAGCAGCAGGAAGAACACTGTAATTTTTCACACACACACTCATCTGTACAGAGAGCGCTTCATTTTCTGGACCACCTGTGAACTTGCACCAGGATCCTCGTGATTCATGTACACGACAGAGCACTTAATTGTCCCATGCAGTCAATTACCATCTTTACGTTTCAAGCAGGATGTGTTTTCAGCTGGCTACGATCAGTAATCTTGCACAGTGTACCCCACAGCATCTCACCATGAGCCATTACTGGCAACACTTTTGCTAGACCATCCACAGAGTAACCCCCAAATTACAGCAGCCACTGCGGTGGTATTTCGGTGTTTTCTGAAGTTAAAGCTCTCACTGGTTTCGCTGGAAGCTTTGAGTGCACGAGAAAGGTAAACGTAGTAAATCAATAGGCCTTTTAAGAGAGTAAAAAACTCCTGTATGAGGCAGAGATGATCTTTTAGTAGCTGCTACAAGACTGATGTCACACTGATTTCTGGCAAAGTTTGAACAAAGTAGTATATATGCAATGTTCAATTTTCATGTTTCCAATGTATTATAGTGTATTATCTTTTCTTGAGTACTGACATGAATGTTAGCCAAAGGAAAGTAACATGCCACATACACAACCCACAAAAATCTGGCTCATGCTTCTGCTATCCTCATTATTTTTTTTAATAACCTATATGGAATTATAAACATCCAAATAAATCCATTACTGAGATAAATAAGTAAATAGATCTTTTTAAAAATCCCCAATGTTATTAAAATATTTGAGCAAATCTTTGAGCAAAATGCTGCTAAATTCTTGTTTGTTGTAAATACTTAACAGTATTGGGTAGCCATTCTATTTTTTATAACATTTTTTCATGCAAACACATGTTATTAGTTGAAATTAAGTATTTATGACTAAGAAAAGAATTTTACTTTTCCCTTTAAAATACAAGCACTGTGTAAACAAACTACCTGGCTCCACCACTCAAAAAAATAAGAGATTTAAATTTTTAATCAAAAAACCCAACAGTTCTTTGCAATGAAGCTTGTAACAACATCCCTAGTAACGAGGTTCAACACTGAGCTGGTATTACCACTAGCTGAGAAAGAGCATCCAACCTCCAAGCACACTCATCCCTTAGCCTCTTCTGAGAGGAATGTCAGCCACTGGACTGTCAGCTGGCACACACTGGGACTGAAGGCTTTGTGACACACACACATCCATATGGAGGAAGTGAAGCACAGCTGCTCATTTCATGTGCAAGTCACCTAGTCTTGAGACAATGCTGAGGTACAATCACCTTCTAGAAGATGACTTGGCAAAATTGTTTTTCCCAACTTTTCTAAAAGAATTACTTAAGGAAAACTTACCCAATAAGATCAAGGAGACAGGATTCATCGTCGTCATCATCCATGACAACTAGAACAAAAAGGCAGAGGATGGATATTTGATGCGTGTCAGACAAAATATTGCTTTCAGCAATAAAACCCATTTAGAATACCTCTGTATTTTTTATTAAACAATCTATGAAGCTGACAGGTCTACTATTGGCAAAGGTCTTCAATAAACCTGCACCCCCTACACAGGTCCACTGATTTATCTCAAAATCAGTCACATGTAATGATATACAACAGCCCATGCAATGTTTTACCATTTAGGGGTTTTTTTAGAATTTTAAATTGGAGAAAGACAAATGATTAACTAAACCAATTAAACAGAACTGCTATGACTTAAAAAAGTAGTAAAAAAATGAACACTGAATGCAACCTCAAGACCCCAAGTAAAATGCTTCTATAGGAATTTACTCCCAGCTAATCCCAGGGAGAGAATAACCAAACACTACAGAACCTATGCAGACTGTTAGAAATTACTGGCTATAGTACTGAGCAGCCAAAAAGATACTGACCAAATTTAGGTCAGCATCACAATGGTCCTGCTACAGGCTAGAAATTAAACCATCGCCAAGACATGACAAAGCATTAGAGAGCACTGTTTTCTATTACACCTTCCTTAGCTATTGCTACTGACAATGTGGGCACTTCCAGTTTCTCCTCAACAACACTCAGAAGTGTACTTAAACCAACTCATGCCTACAGGTACAGAGTTCTGAAAATCCTGTTAACAACGGGTGGAGAATTCATTTGCATTAGCCAAACTGAACGTAAGCATCCATTCACCGGATGCAGAGCATTTTCAGCCTCACAACATGATGACCGCTGACATTCTTCACGCACTGCCTACGCAGTCGGGTGCTGTCTGTACCAAGCACTTTCCATCATTCTTTGCTCCGGCTGCTGTTCCTTCGAAGCTTCTGTGTGCATATCCTCGTCCTCCTGTGCACTGTAACTCTTAGAATGTCACCTGAGACTGTACCTTCTCCCTTTTCCCTGTCACTAACTCTCAGGACCATTTTATCCTCCGTTATCCTCTCTGCAATGATCTGCCTAAGCCACCAGTTGAACTATCAACTGATGCTAGCATTTCCTAAACCTGGTGGCACCTTGACTTCCGTTCGGTTATACAATCTCACCTTCACAGTACCTTCTAATTACATCTAATTGATCACTGTGCATTCCATGCTTGATTTTTTCTCAACTTCCCTTAAAAAGTCTGCTAGCATACTTATGACTCAAATTTATTAATACACTTTTGGCTTTACTTCATTTTGCTCTCTCTTACTCCTTGCCAAACAGAAACTTCCTCTCCCTGGCCAGAGGTGAATCATTCTTCAGGCTCCCTCTCTCATAAAGACCTCCATAACAATTAAGGTCACGAAGGGACGGGAGCATCTGTTACACCAGAGGCTGACAGCACCGGGACGCTCCCGCCTGGCACACAGGCGGCTATGGGGGAATCTTGTCCGTGTGCGTAAATAACCGGTGGGAAGGTGCAAAGAAGACTGAGCCGGACTCAGTGGTATCCAGTGAAGGAACAAAGGGCACAAATTGAAACAACAACAAAAATCTGCTTAAACATAGCAAAAAAAAAATTTTTTTTTTAAACTCCGAGGCTAGTCAAATACTGGCACAGGTTTTCCAGCAAGGCTATGGAGTCTCCATCCTTGGAGATACCCAGGACCCAGCTGGATGACCGCCCTGAGCAGCTGACTCTGGCCGAGTCTGCCATGAGAAGGACATCGGATAAGGCATCTTGAGACCTCCCTTCCCCTTTCAGCTGTCCTGTGATTCTGTCACCTCTTTCCTGACATTTTTCTGTACTTCCCTGATTCTGAAAGCCATTTATACTTTAAGCTAGCAGGGGGTACCCTGTCCTCTATACTGCATAGCCTCATTCAGATTTTTTCTTCAATCCCCTGTGCTGTAGCTTACAGAGAGGGTAAAGCAGAACTAGAGGATACATCACTATAAGGATTCCTCAGTACCACCTCTCCGGGAGAACATGAAAACAAATCATGGCTTCAGAGAACTACCTCAAAGATCGACCAAAAAAAATAAAAATAAAAATAAATCAGCATTCATGATGATTATGCATCTTAAGTAATTTCTCCCACGATTCAGCAGCACATCTGGTCACTGTTGCGGCAGCCACCAGCACTGATCTTGCAATTTAATGCTAAGCAAATAACATGACATTTTATGATGTCATGAAATTTAAATGTAAATGTGCATTAGTAAGAACAAATTAGTAAGTGATCAGCATTCTGCTTTAACAGAGCTGTTAGTGCTACTTACAGAAAGCTGTTACTTCCTCTAGCAGCTGAACAGCATATCCATCTCTCAAGAGCAAGGTGTCAAAGACTCCAAGCTAACCAAAAGTAAAAATCAGCTCTGTCAAAAGTCAACAGAATCTTTCTTTTCACACTGCACTCCTACTTTTGAAAATCCCATCCCATCCAGCAATACTGACATAATTATTTAAATAAAATTCAATGTCTTTGCTTTACCAACCCAAATATTCTCCATGCCTATACTACAATAAGGGTTCAGGAATATGGAATGTAATCCCACAGAACTTTGTTCAGTCGGCACTCCTGTGGGTATCAAAATTACTAACACAAGTTACGCAAGCTCGGTACGTTCACTCAAGCCTTGAAAACCTGCATGTAACAGTCAGAAGGAAAATAAATTGCATTAAGACACCCAAAATCTTAATGGTAATACACATTCTTCACTATTCAGTCCTTTAGCTGAACATGCAGATGGCTCTATTAGAAAAAATAATTTGTTGGTTTTCCTCATTTCACACATAAAAGAAAAATCCACCCAACATAGTGTAACTTCCTACCAGTTTACAACAGACAATAAAACCCAAAAAAAGCATCTGTATTTCTGATAAACACCAAGAATCACAGCCACTCCCCTCCAGAAGGATCTTCCTAACAAGCTTTAACAATGTTTTTGTCATCACTAGCAGAATTCTACGCACACATGAAAAAGAAATTACACCTTTGGGTGTTTTTTTAAAGTCTGGTTTATCAAAGAGCTAATCTGGATAAAACTACTACCGAGGTTTTTATACCACTGCCCAGTGTACCATCACAGAGCCACAAACACACAATACACAGCTCGTGCTGTGTTCTCATCAGCATTCAGAGCCTAAGGGGCGACATGCCCCTGCACCTTGAAAACTGCAAAATATGGCACAGACAGATAGCTACCATTTCGATATTCCCAGGGGTAACACTGCACTAACAAGACGCCACATGGCAGTGCTGTTGTGAAATACCACAGGCCCACCACACAATTTAAAGAGTGCACATGGATACGTGCTCTCTGAAAGAACCAAGGTCACAACCAAGCCACAAACCTACCTACTTAGACTAAACTCTGTTCCTGTTTTGCCACACATACCCAAGGTCTACACAACCACGTAACTGCAGCTTTAAATCTTTTTAAACAGATTTTCAATGAGGATTAGTGTCCTGTTAACTTCAGGACAGCAGGAGGGGAGATGTACAATCAGACCGAGTCCTTGCACACCCAAAAGCACCTACTTGCAGAGCCTATTTAGGAAAGAGGGCAACCTCAGCAACACATGACCTTGACACAGATGATCATCTAGAAGTGTGTTACTAAAGGTAAGCCCAGCCTGTGAAGTTTTCCTAACACGTTTTCTACAGCTCAGATGGTATAAAAGTTTGCTACTTTTCTTGCCGACTACCTTTTCAGTTTTTCTATACACAAGTTATACAAATTCTGTCTTTTTCACTGTCTGTTAACATACAGTGGGCCAACATAATGACTGATGTAGGAAATGGGTGTAAACCATACTAAGACAGAAAACAGAACTTGATGTGAACGGAATTAAAGGATCAGAGTTAACGCAGCCTAGATCAGTGGTCCCCAAAGTGGGGTGTGTGCACAAGAAAACCCACTGGGGAGGAAGAATATAGTAGAACCTCAGTAACACATCGATGTAATTTGTAAATAAACACACATATATTGGGGGTGCATGCTCAAAAAGCTTTTACTGACAGGAGTGTGCAATCAAAGCCATCAGGAGACCACTGGCCTAGACTCCTGAAGATTGACGAATTAAAAAAAAAAAAAAACACACACACAAAACACCACCACACAAAAAATCAGTTTATCCTAAGTAGGCTAAACTCACCCCTGCTAGTGCATCCAACTAATTTACAAAGGGCAATCCTTACTCATTAGTCACAATCCAGTACCGACATTCCCTGTAACTTATTATTAGCAACACCACTACTCTCTTATTTCATTCCCGTCACTGCACAACCCAGAATGTACTTCAGCTTGGGTGACGTGTACTGGTGGAAGCAGCAGCACCTCCCATCCCCTCCAGGAAATAACCAGAGTGCCCTTTATCACAGCTCCCAAGCAAAAGGTGAAAGTAATAAAACTGACAGGGAAATCCCAGCTATGCAGGCCGACCTTCCGGGGACTGCCAGAACTCAAACTTCCAGCTTCCCCCTTCCCCTTTCAACACCCTCACCTACTGCAGAGCACAGGCCAACAAGAGGAAGAGAGCCGTCCTGCGCCCCTCTCTCCCATCTCCCCCAGTCAGCTCAAGGCTTTGAACAGCCACCTGGAAGAGAAGATCGATCTGACAAAATACATGATCCATTTCAACTTGGATTAGCTTCTGGATTTGGTTCTGGCTTGTCATGGGCTACAAGGACGCTAGTGCCAGCACAGGAGAGGGAACGGGAATAAGGGAGCTGGGCAGACAGCAATGGTTCAGCCAGCTTACAGCAAGAGGCGGCCTGCAGCCCCACACCTGCGGCTAACGCAGCCACCGCTCCCACGTCACATACAGGGCCAGCAGCAGGTCGATGGAAACGATTATTCCTCTCTGCTCAGCACTTGTGAGCTCCCATCTGAAATACTGCTCCCAGTTTAGTGTGTGTGTCCTGCAACTTTCCGCCTTTAAAGAAATACAGAAAAATTGAGAGAGTCCATTAGAGTGCCAATAAAATCCTACAGGCAC